TAAACTAGCCCATAGGCAAGGTTCACACCTATGCAGTTTGCGTTTGATCCCTTTCTGCAGTGCTTTTTGCGCATCAAAAATGCACTACATGCTTTTCTGCAACGTGTCCATTGAAGTCTATAGCACCAAAAACGCAACGTTTTGCATTTAAAAAGTCCCTGACCCTTTCCAAAAAACGCATCGTGAAAATGCGAAGATGTTAACCTGTCTCATAGGAAATCATTTTAAATGGACTGCTGTGCGTTTCTGCAAAACACTTGGGTGTGAATCTAGACTTATGTAGGCCATACATGGGTCGAATTCTGAATGAATTTTCTTTAGAAAATCTGACATTTCGCGTGTTTTCTATCCCGATGGCGCCACCATTGATTTCGAAATTCAACCAACCAAGCCTTCAAGTTCAGCTCATGTTGCTACAGAAAAGAATTTTTGTGGGCCAAGAATGTTCTTTTCTTTCCGGGTCACAGCTCATTTCTTTTTCATTTATATTTCTCACACGAGTCCCCCATCATTGATTCCATATTCGTTTGTTTTTCAAAAACTTTCCAACATGGCCGATCACTCAAATTCGATGTTCACATGAAAATCGGACGTTTCTGTGACCCACTAATGCAAACTTCGAAAGAAAATTCTTAGAAAAGATTTTCTAAAGAAAATTCTTTCGGCATTCGACCCGTGTATGGCCAGCTTTAGTGGTGCTTGCTCCCCATGTAGTGAAATCAGCTGCATAGTGTGCTTACCCTGTTGCACTTGGCAGGTGATCCCTATCGATAATCATGGGGTTGATAACTGATTCCAGGTGATCCATGGATTATAAATTGATGAGTGCAGCCTCCTCATCACAAGCACGGACTCTGCTTTGCAGCACTACACACTGGGTTTCTTTACTGCTGCTCCTCACAGTGTAAGGCAGACATATATGATTCATTTTATTTCATTCAACCAACAGCTTGGACTAAACAAAAAGAAATGATTTCCTCATCCACACATTCAAGGTGGATGGGGGAATCCCTCTCATGTAGCTATTGTATTCTGACAGTGGAGGGACTTCCCTGCCATCAGTATACACTCATCAGCAATGCCGGCTCTAGCCAGTGGTAGTGATGCAGAGATTGACTTCTGTACAACCAGGCTGCCCATAGATTATTATTATTATACGGTATTTATAAAGCGCCAATAGTTCGCTCAGCGCTGTACATTACAAAGGGGGAGAGAACATGTGACAGAACAATACCAATACAATGCAAAACATGAGGGGATCGAGGGCCCTGCTCTTTCAAGCTTACAATCTAGGAGGGAGGGGGATGGATTGAAATTTGGTCTGTCTCTGCTGAACCAGATGAATTTTGATCCATCTATGGTCAGATTAAAGTGGAACTTTAGTGAGAAAATTAAGTCCTGTTAGATCACTTTAGACTGGCCCCTTTTGCAAGTATAACTACTATATGTAAAACATTAAAAATAAGTGCCTATACTGCTTAAAATGTAGAGGCTAATCTGCTGACAACCTAAAGATTTACTGCTGCTCAGGGACTCTGGGCTTCAGCAAAATGGCAGCCTCCAGCAAGAAGAAACAGAATAATGCTGGAGGTAATTTACAGCACACACTAATTTTGGTAGCATAACTATTAATGTGCAATTTGCAGCATGTTCCTTGCTAGAGAACTTTTTTTATCACATTGTTATGGGTAAAGTTCTGCTTTAAGTTTACGTTGCTGATATCTCACCACAGTAGTTGTTAGGGAGAGTCATTGTGTTAGTGAATCATTCCTGTCCTTATTGGCTAATCTACAAATCTCTACATTTAATACAATAAATTATGAGAGCAACCATGTAAAATGTAAAGGTTACATTAACGGATCATTTCACCTTTAGTGAAGTTATCCCCTTGTGTAGTTCAAATAGCTGAATAGTGACCTATAGCTCTGCTCCATGTATGGCCGCACAGTGCAGATCTTAGTAGCAGGGTGGATGGTATTGTGGTCTGGAGGGTTACAATAAAGGGGAACTGTAAATTACAACTTTACCAAAATGAGAAATTGTAAAAGCCAAGTTCATCTCCTGGAACATGTTACATGTTCCACCTGTATTTAGGGTGGAATATGTAACATGCTCCAGCTCTTACCTCCTCTCTCTAAACCTGTGAAAGAAAGCCAGGGATCTTCTATCCACACCCACTGTCACAATTTAAAAAAAATGTGGCCATGCGGGGCACCACCCACAGGGCCAGGTTATTGAATCACAGTTTCCTATGAATGAATGCCTACAAGTACTGTCAGCCATTGCGGCCGACAACTTGTAGTTCTCAATGAACTGGGAGGATGCTGGTGGGCACTCTTGTAGTTCATTGATTCTCCCTGCCATTCAGTAACTATCTGTTTAAGGTACTGAGTGTCTGAAGGATCCAGGCATTGCACCTGTGATCTGCTGATCGTGAGTGCAATGCCTTACAGACGGTAATGTAGAAAATAATAAATGCCTTTTTTTTTTTTTTTTTTTTTTTACCTGCAAATAAGTGAACGTATCCATTAAGTTAAATATTAATTCTATTGAAAACTAGTCTTTGCTTTCCCTTTTTAAAATCTGCTCCAATCACTATCTTTAGCCTGGTAGGTGTTTCTACTGCTGGATCAGTTGCATTGTGTGCAATGGATAGATGTCCTACCATTTCAAATATAAAATCTGATGTCCATGAAAAGAAGTTTTTATACACTGAAGGCTCAGTAAAGTCAGTAGGCTATTCCGTCCTTGTAAAGTCTGAAGTTTTTAAATGCAGAAACATAACCCCTTTGTGTTCATTTGTATAAGGCATGAGAATAAAGCTAGTCAGTCTAACACAAGGAGCCTATCAATACCCAAATTAGGCAAAGAAACTGCCCTCCAACCAGCACAGGCTGCTCTGTAAAGTCTTGTGCTGTACAGCCTGTACGATAATACAACTTCTGCTGCCTTATATATACAGCTTTCCTGCTACCAAATAAAACATAACCATTATTATCATATAACCATTAAAAATGATTGTACTGTTCCATAAAGAGATGCCTCGAATGGGTGTCCACTTATGCAAAGGAAAACCCTGTTACTGAATCCTAAACAAATAAATGAATGTACCCAAAATATAACACTTTAGGGGAGATTTACTAAAACATAGAATCTGGTGCAGCTGTGCATGGAAGCCAATCAGCATCTAACTTCAGCTTGTTCAATTAAGCTTTGATAATAACCCCCGATTCACACATATGTGGCCATGCGGGCCACGTTTTGCATGGGCACGAGAGCCCATTCATTTGAATGGACTCTCGTGCCCCATGATACGCAGGGAAGAAGTCCTTGCACTTCTTTTGAAAATGCAGCCCGCACAGGAACCTCAGTTCCCAGTACATTTTGCTTTTTCCAGTGCGGACGGCGTGCCATTAAAATTAATGGCACCCGCCCGCAGGTCCGCATTTCTCTGTGCGGGTGGTGCGGCTGCACGGATTTTCGCACAGATGTGAACCTAGGGTTAAACCTGGAAGCTGATTGGCTACATGTACAGCTGCTATAGATTCTGTGTGCTCCAGTTTTAGTAAATCCCCTGTTGTTGTTTCTCTCTCTTTATCCTCTCTTTTACTTTTTTTCCCCTTTATTTATCTCCCTCCCTTTTATCTATAAAATAAAAATGGTTGAATTCTAGAAGTGTATACTTTGAGACACAATTTTCTAACTACAAGCTCCTAATAGGATGACATGCATGGGAAAGTTCCTTGAAGTACAGCAGGTAGCTACAGAGTTAATCAGAGCAACACTGTTGAGGTCCCTGGATTTCCAGTACCCCCAGTGAGGTTTCTATGGGCCCAACAAGGCATGAAGAAGTGTCACTTTTACTAAAACCTACAAGACCAGCTCAGTCCTAACACATCCAGATATCCATTCCAGGGGAAAGACAACAGTGCCACCATGTGACCACTATTGGCATTGCAGCCAGCATATGCTGTATCCTGGATCCAATACTCCACAGCAGCCTCTCTCAACCAGGGTGCCTTCAGGCTTTTCAGGGGTGCCTTGGCAATATGCTTAAAAACTGCCCAAAAATTGTATACGAGCCAGTAGGTGGATCAAGCCTGCCTCTTAGTTACACAAAGCCATAGGTTTTCATTGTGCACTTTTACAACCTGTCGGCATCCTAACAACCAATTACATCGTTAGTTGATAAGGAGGACTTCGGGCAGCTGTACAGCATCCTTGTTTGCTCCTCCTCCTCTCCATCAGCAGTGGGGTTACATTAGCTGAGTGAGGCAGAGAAACTAAGGAAGAAACATTGGAATACTAGTCAGTACCAGTTTGCAAATAAATATTTTGCTTTGGTAGAATAAATCACCTCTAATGTTGGGTGTCCTACATGTGTGGATGTTGCTGCGTTATGTAAAACTATTAGAATAGTTTTTTTACATTTTAGAATGGGGTGCCGCAAGATTGTGCAGAATGTTAAAGGGTGCCTTGGCTGAAAAAAGACAGAGACAATGCTCCAAAGAATGAATTGCATTTGGAACAAGTGACTTCAAAGTTTCAGGAATTTATAAAACACATACACTGAGATATGCAAGGGGCCAGTGTGATGTTTTTTAACCGCTTCCCGCCCGTCATATAGTAAAATGACGGACGCAAGACAGTTCTCTCGTTCTAACTGCGCATGGACATAACGGATCACCGATCAACGGAAAGAGCCGAAGATGTCGGCTCAGTCATGTGATCAGCTGTGTCCAATCACAGCTGATCACATGTAAACAGGGAAATGCCGGTTATCTGCATTTATCTCCTCACGAGCTGTCACGCTGACAGAGGAGAGGAGATCCGGTAATCGGCATTCCTCGGAGGGGACATGTACACTGATCATCACAGCACTGATGATCTGTGTAGCCCCAGTTGTGCCACCTGTCAGTGTCCATCAGTGCTCATCCATGCCACCTGCCAGTGCCCATCAATGCCACATATCTGTGCCCTGAGAGCTGCCTTTCAGTGTCGCCTATCAGTGTGCATCAGTGCCGCCTATCAGTGCCATATATGAGTGCTGCCTTTCAGTGCCCATCAGTGATGCCTGTCAATGCCCATCAATACCACCTACCAGTGCCTCCTTATCAGTGTCCATCAGTGCAGCCTATCAGTGCAGCCTCATTAGCGCACATCAGTGAAGGAGAAAAATCACTTACTTACAAACTTTTATAACAAAATCTAAGAAAAAAAACATTTTTTTTTTTTTAAGCTTTCAGTGGTTTTTGGTTTGTTTAAGAAAAAATAAAAAACCCAGAGGTGATTAAATACCACCAAAATAAAGCTCTCTGTCACAAAAAAAAATTCATAAGGGTACAGTGTTGCATGACCGCGCAATTGTCAGTGAAACAGCACTGAAAGCTGGAAATTGGCCTGGGCAGGAAGGGGGTAGAAGTGCCCTGTAGGGGCTAGTGGTTAACATCCATATTCATTTCTTGGCATGATGTCATAATAAAAGTTATTGTTTTAACAAGGGATCAGTGACTCGACACTGCAATGCAGCAACAACAACTCGCAGACATAGCCCGATTTTCAAGGACAGTGCATGTGCTGGTGATCTTTCCCTGGAAACACTATCACCCTATCAATAGCTTACAGCTGAATAACACAACTGATGAAGAAATCCTATTTTTACTCACTCTTGTCTTTCTGTGAAAAAACAAATCACACAACGATGCCTTACTTCTTTAACAGTTCGCACATGTGAAAGAATTCATAAAGATCAGTCCCCTTTCACAGCAGGTTATAGTCAAGCAGAGCTCAGAGGGAAAAAAGCTCTCCTCCCACTATATACCAGAAGCTTCCAATATCTTACTGGGCTGTCAACCAGCTTCATGGAGGGGAAGGTACAGTACTAAATCTGTGAAAGGTGTGAAGTCCTGGTCAACACGTTGGCTTCCCTAATATCACCAGCAAAATAAGTAATGTGTTTTGGCACATTCACATACGCCAACGACTTGAGGGATCCTGTAGTCACTGCATTCTGGGAGGCAGGGGGTGTATCATGGCTGTCATTCCTGAAAACTGATTTTTCATAATGTCGGTGCTGAGCATTTGGGCTTACAATGTACCCTGCAGCAACATTTTAAAGTGGGCCTGCTGTTAAAACTTGGCACTTCATATGAATGGGCACATGTAACATAACTGCTCTGAGAAAGTCCATCCTTCTTGGCATTTCTAAAAAGACAAAGCAGCGTAGCCTAGACTAAAATCACATAGGGGTTATCGGAGAGTGCAAGATCTGGTGCAGTTCTGCATGGAAACCAATCAGCTTCCAGGTTTTATTGACGAAGCTTAACTGAATAAGCTGAAGTTAGAAGCTGGTTACCATGCACAACTGCACCAGATTCTGAGTGCAACAGTTTTACTAAATCTACCCCCAGAGTGCCTGGCTAGCAGGAGCAGTAATTGTGTTACCTGTCATTAGAGATTGAAGAAAGTCTATTCTTAAGTAAGACTAGTTGTGTCTTGCAGTGAGATCATGTAGCAAGCATCTCCTATCCTCTCTACAAATATTGAAATAGAAGAATAGCAAGACCCAACAACTTTGGCTGCTCCATGTACTATACATATACCTGTATAATTTCCAACTATACATATCATCATGGTCTTTAAAATGATTTGAGAAATATATATATAAATGCAATCTATTGAAAACATATACAGTGAATATAGAAAAGAATCACCCCTTTAAAATAATCACATTTTGTTTCTTTGCAGCCCGAAATAAAGACAGGCACAGTTTTTGTTTTATCCAGCTTTATTTACTCAGTGCACCTTATACCATCCAAGTTAAAGATATAACACAAACATCAAAAACGAAAAAAAAAAACAATCACTGAGTTGGAAAAAGGATCCGTCAGGTGTAACTAATCCCCTTCACAATGGCACACAAAGCCATTTGACTTCCAACTGTGATCAGCTGTGGTCATTTTCATTAGCTTATCGTGAAAAGAGTTTTCCTGGAGCATTTCAGTCCCTGCTAGTGAAACTGAAGCAAACAATCAACTATGGGTAGCAAGGCACTGTCAAAAGATCTCCAGGATAAAGTTGTGTACAGACACAAGTCAGGAGATGGATAGAAAACATTTTTCAAAGGCTTTATCAGTGCCTAGAAGCACAGTGAAGTCTAATATTAAGAAGTGAAAGGTATATGGTACAATAAAGACCCTCCCTGGGTCAGGACGTCACTCCAAAATGGATGAAAGAGCCAGGAGGAAACTGGTCAGAGAGGCTACCAAAGGCCTACAGCAACTCTGAAGCAGTTGCAGGGATGTATGACAGAGAGTGGTCATTGTGTGCATGTGACAACTATATCACAAATTCTCCACAAATGTGGCTTGTATGGGAGGGGTGCAAGAAAATAGCCACTCTCAAAGGCCACATACAGTCAACACTGAGCTATGCCAGAACACACCTTCTGAAAATTCTGAGGCCACATGGAAAAAGGTGTTATGGTCAGATGAGACTAAAATTTAATTATCTGGTCTCAACACTAAATGATATGTCTGGTGGAAATCCAATCCAGCTCACATCCAAATAACACCATTCCTACAGTAAAGCATGGAGTTGGTATATCCTGTTGTGGGGTGCTTCTCTGCAGCAGAGACTGGAGCATTTGTCAGGACAGAAGGAAAAATGGATGGGGCAAAACATCGGCAAATTCTTGAGGAAAATCTGCCGCCCTCTGCCAGAAAGTGGTCAACGGGGAGAAGGTTTACCTTCCAACATGACAATGTCCCAAAGCACACAGCAAAAATGACCACATAGTGGTTGAAAGTGACAAAGGTGAAGGTCCTTGCATGGCCAGTCAGAGCCCAGATTTAAATCCCATTAACCGTCTCCCATATAAGGAAATGACGGGCACAAGGCAGTTCTCTCGTTCTCCCACTCTAACCGCGTGCACCGATCAGTGGTGCGCTGTTGTCCCTGGGACACAGCGGATCACTGCTCAACGGAAAGAGCTGAAGATGACGGCTCTGTCATGTGCTCAGCTGTGTCCAATCACAGCTGATCGTATGTAAATAAGGAAATGCAGGTTATCGGCATTTCTCTCCTCACGAGCTGTCATGCTGACAGCTCGTGAGGAGAGGATAGGAGAGCAGGTAATCGGCATTCCTCAGAATGGATATGTACACTGATAATCAGGGCACTGATGATCAGTGTAGCTCCATCAGTGCCACCTGTCAGTGCACATCAATGCCACATATCAGTGCCTACCAGTGCACAACAATGCCACATATCAGTGCCTACCAGTGCACATCAATGCCACATATCAGTGCCCATCTGAGCTGCCATTCAGTTCCACCTATCGTTGCTGCCTCAGTGCCGCCTATCAGTGCCCATCAGTGATGCCTGTCAATACCCATCAGTGCTGCCTATCAGTTCCCATCATTGCAGCCTCATTCGCGCACATCAGTGAAGGAGACAAATCACTTATTTACAAAATTTTATAACAGAAACTAAGAAAAAAACATTTTTTTTTTTTTTCAAAATTGTCAGTTGTTTTTGGTTTGTTTAGCAAAAAAATAAAAAACCCGGAGGTGATTAAATACCACCAAAAGAAAGCTCTGTCTCAAAAAAATGATAAAAATTTCATATGGGTACAGTGTTGCATGACCGCACAATTTGTCATTCAAAGTGCGACAGCGCTGTAAGCTGAAAATTGGCCTGGGCAGGAAAGGGGTATAAGTGCCCGGTAGGCAAGTGGTTAAAAATCTGTGGAATGACTTGAAGACTGCAATCCACAAATGGTCAACATCAAATTTAACTGAACCTGTAAAGTCTAGATGTGCAATGTTAGTAGAGACATATCCCAAAAGACTAAAGTCTAGAATTAAAAAAAACAAAAAGGTAGTCAAATAAAATACTGACACAAAGGGGTCCTTTTTTGATCCATTTTCCAGCTCAGTGATTCTGTTTTTGATTTTTTTTTTCTGACATATCGGTCACTTGGATGTTGTAAGTTGCACTGAGTAAATACAGCTGGATAACACCAAAACTGTGTCTGTCTTCATTTCAGGCTGCACAGCAACAACATGTGATTATTTTAAAGAGGGGTAATTCTTTCCTATACCCACTATATCTAAACAACATTTTAAAAACTATTATTCCTTTTAATAAACCAATGCTAAGGACAGGTTATGTTAATTTCTAAGATTAGGTCAGGCTGACTAACTCTCCAGAAGACAGGATGATATCTCCCCAAGAACACTGTGTGGGGATACATATGCACTGAGCCAGCAAAACACTGATGCACGCAATACTTGGCCACCATATGACAGGACACAAACACAGTCATAGACAGGTTAGTAGTAGTTAGTCACATCTCTTCTTCAGTTCCGATGAGTGTCAGGAAGCATGTTCCTCTACCATTTCAGGGTAAACAATCCAAAATCATTGTTCTGATGTTGGTGTCAGTGGGAGGAAGAATACAGGGGCCTTTGAAGTGTGCAAGAGGCTCTGAAAAGACTGGGTGTCACTGTTGGGGTATTGGAGGGGGTTAGGAGACTCTGCAGCAGATGTCAGTGACCCTGTGGAGGATGAGGTTTCCGGATAGGTCTTGGGGCAATTGTGGGGGACAGGGTCTGTGGACAGGGCTTGGGAGTCTTTGCCAGTGCTGGATGGTGCTGTGGGACACTCATGGAGGTTGGCGTCATTATACAGGGTTGGTGGCTGCCTCAAGGTTTAGGAGCAATTGTGTGAGGATAGGGGGCACAGTGGAGGCTGAATGCCAGCAGATATTCTACTCCCCCAATCCCACTTACTTCAGACCTGCTATTAGTACATATTCAGTGTTCAAGCACACGATGCCTGCTGGCAACAGGGAGGGGGCACTACAGCTGTCTCTGTGGCCCAGCAGAAGGGAGGCTGTGACCTGGCAGTGGACAGCTGCCAAGGGGTGGAGAACCATCACCCTATGGAGACCATAATGGGCCTGAATCAGTAAACTAGCATAAAAAAGTGTCTTGAATCTGGCCATTGTAGGCATGGGGAGAACAATTTTTAGACAGACTGTAAGACACTGAATGTGGTAGGGATTTGGAAAAAGATTGCATCAAGTTTGAAGGACAGATTAGGCTAAATGCGCAGGTGGGATTAACCCCCAGAGGATTTACTCCCCTTCCTGACCAGGACATTTTTTGCGATACTGCGCTGCATTACTTTAACTGACAACTACGCGGTCATGCAATCCTCTACACAAATGAAATTCGCCATTTTTTTTTCCCCACAAATAGAGCTTTCTTTCTTTGCACTATAAACAAAAAAATACCAAAATTTTTTTTTTTTTTCCTTTTTTACTTTTTGCTATAAAACATCCAGTAAAAAAAATTTAAAAAATCTAATTTCTTCATAAATTTAGGCCAAAATGTATTCTTTCTGCTACATGTCTTTGCTAAAAAAAATCCCAATACATGTAAATTATTTGGTTTATGTGAAAGTTATAGCATCTACAAATGGCGGTATATATACTGGAATTTTTTTTTTTTTTTCTAGTAATGGCAGCGATCAGCAACTTATAGTGGGACTGTGGCGGGCATTCTGACACTGGGGGGAACTGACTAACTGCCACTGACATCCAAATGACACTAATACAATGATGAGTGCTAATAAGCACTGACACTGTACTAATGATACTGGGCAGGAAGGGGTTAACATATGTGGCGATCAAAGGGTTAACTGTGTGCTGTTTTACATATTATGCTGTGTGTGTTTTACTAAGGAAACAAGCTATGCAGAGAAATACACAGGAGCATGTGCTTGCTGGCAAGAAAAAGACCTGTGTTGTTTACACACAGGTCTCTCCCCTATTAGTTTTACTCTGCGATCGCCTGGTGCCAGCGGGGAATCTCCAGCTAGGACCCGGGGGATGACATCTGTAGCCGCCAATGACGGCGTGCGTGCCCCCTACCCAAAGGGGTGTGTGTGTGTGTGTATTTTTATGTACTCTCCCACCCTAGTAGCAGTACTTCTACTATAGGGCGGTGAGCAAGCAGTTAAGTCAAATAAAGGGAACACTGGAGGTGAGCACCCTTTTTCAGCTGTGACGATCAGTTATTGCTCTCTACTTTGCCCTCCCTCCCCCCAGCGCTCCAGTGGAGGGGGTGGGAGTGGCAGGCTCAGGCTCTCAGCAGCTCGCCAGTCCAAGCCCCTGGGTAGATCCCAACCATATGGCCGTGGTCTTTCCCCAGTCTGAACAGGCTCTGTGATGTCATTTGACAGCAGTTCACAGGAGTGCAGAGTGAACTACACTCCTGTGATCCACAGGAGAAGCACAGCAGCCAAACAAGCTTTGTTTATACTCCTCCTTTAACCTCCACATATGGAAAGGCTTCTTCACAGAAAAGCTGTGAATGTGGAATAGACTCCCTCAAGAACTACGGTAGTTCTGGCCAGCTCATTAGATTGCTTTAAAAAAGAGCTAGATGCAATCCTAAATGAGCAAAATATAACTGGGTAATAAAACCAGGGATAGTTGATCCAGGGAACTCCTGATTTGCCTCCTGGGGGATCAGGAAGGAATTTTATTTTCCCCACTAAAGCAAACTAGATCATGCTTTATTGGGGGGTTGGGGGGAAGGGTGCTTCCTCTAGATCAACTGTGGGTTTAGGATTGTGTATATAGAGGTTTTCTATTTGTTTGTTTATTTTTTTTCTATTGGTTGGTTGAACCAGATAGACCTGTGTCCTTTTTAACCGTACTATGTAACTTTTCTGCAAAAACGAAGTGTTGTGTAGATTAGCTTTTGTATAGAAGAACATAGTCTTCTAGCTGCCCTGCCATTATCAGGCTTCTGCGATTACTATATTTTGAAAGCTACAACAACTAACATAATCAGTGACCAATGTACATGAGTGGAGTCTGCATCAGGCTGACTTGAAGAGAACATTAACCTACAGTCAGGTCCATAAATATTGGGACATCGACACAATTCTAAAATTTTTGGCTCTATACACCACCACAATGGATTTGAAATGAAACGAACATGATGTGCTTTAACTGCAGACTGTCAGCTTTAATTTGAGGGTATTTACATCCAAATCAGGTGAACGGTGTAGGAATTACCACAGTTTGCATATGTGCCTCCCACTTGTTAAGGTACCAAAAGTAATGGGACAGAATAATAATCATAAATCAAACTTTCACTTTTTAATACTTGGTTGCAAATCCTTTGCAGTCAATTACAGCCTGAAGTCTGGAACGCATAGACATCACCAGACGCTGGGTTTCATCCCTGGTGATGCTCTGCCAGGCCTCTACTGCAACTGTCTTCAGTTCCTGCTTGTTCTTGGGGCATTTTCCCTTCAGTTTTGTCTTCAGCAAGTGAAATGCATGCTCAATCGGATTCAGGTCAGGTGATTGACTTGGCCATTGCATAACATTCCACTTCTTTCGCTTAAAAAACTCTTTGGTTGCTTTTGCAGTATGCTTTGGGTCATTGTCCATCTGCACTGTGAAGCGGCGTCCAATGAGTTCTGAAGCATTTGGCTGAATATGAGCAGATAATATTGCCCGAAACACTTCAGAATTCATCCTGCTGCTTTTGTCAGCAGTCACATCATCAATAAATACAAGAGAACCAGTTCCATTGGCAGCCATACATGCCCACGCCATGACACTACCACCACCATGCTTCACTGATGAGGTGGTATGCTTAGGATCGTGACCAGTTCCTTTCCTTCTCCATACTCTTCTCTTCCCATCACTCTGGTACAAGCTGATCTTGGTCTCATCTGTCCATAGGATGTTGTTCCAGAACTGTGAAGGCTTTTTTCTTGTGGTGAACCCTCTGTATTCACTCTGGTGAAGTCTTCTCTTGATTGTTGACTTTGACACACATACACCTACCTCCTGGAGAGTGTTCTTGATCTGGCCAACTGTTGTGAAGGGTGTTTTCTTCACCAGGGAGAGAATTCTTTGGTCATCCACCACAGTTGTTTTCCGTGGTCTTCCTGGTCTTTTGGTGTTGCTGAGCTCATCGGTACGTTCCTTCTTTTTAAGAATGTTCCAAACAGTTGTTTTGGCCACGCCTAATGTTTTTGCTATCTCTCTGATGGGTTTGTTTTTTCAGCCTAATGATGGCTTGCTTCACTGATAGTGACAGCTCTTTGGATCTCATCTTGAGAGTTGACAGCAACAGATTCCAAATGCAAATAGCACACTTGAAATGAACTCTGGACCTTTTATCTGCTCATTGTAATTGGGATAATGAGGGAATAACACACACCTGGCCATGGAACAGCTGAGAAGCCAATTGTCCCATTACTTTTGGTCCCTAACAAGTGGGAGGCACATATGCAAAACTGTTGTAATTCCTACACTGGTCACCTGATTTGGATGTAAATACCCTCAAATTAAAGCTGACAGTCTGCAGTTAAAGCACATCTTGTTCGT